GGTGTCACGAGCGCTTTTACCTGTCTGGAGGAGAGTCTACTGCAGTAGAAGAACTGAAGGCAGACATTTTGAAATGTGAACAATTTGGCGTGATTGAGTAAAGAAAAGCCAAGTCTGAAATCACCAACTTTCGAAGTATGTACCGTATCTTATCTATAAATTTTTTTTTTGGTGTTTGGCTTAGTGTTATGTTAGAATCATTATTATACTCATACCGTTTGTTCTTTTAATATTTTGAATTGTTTTTAGCTTTATTTTTTTGTTTTCATTTCAATGTTTAATTTTTAAATGTTGTTGTATGCATTTGTCATTTGTATTTCATTTAAAAGTATCTTCACTATACCGTATGTATGTCATTTGTATGTTGCATTGTTGAGTTTTAGGTTCTGAATTTGAATTCAATTGGTCACGCGCCACAAGAACGATGTAAAGATAAAATCACACAACAGTCCAACACAACAACATCAGAAACTTCAGAACTCTGTCTGAGAAAAGACAGAAGGGCTTCATTTGGGAATTCTGGGAAACGAATGCTAAATGAAAGTTAAATATATCACTTAAATACACATTTCTATAGGTAGCATTTCAAACAGTGATTATTCATATAATGTAATGTTTCTGGAAGTATCCTACATTTTCTTTGTATGGTTTATGGGTATATCACACTGTATAAAAAATAATGTATTATTAGAAATGGCACTTACAGAACTCATCTGAATTTGTTTGAATTCCATTCCATTTTCATTTCAAATTTGAATTAGAATTCTGCATCCTGTTTGCTGGGCCAACTCGATTCAAATTCAGGAATTAAGTCCTAATTTAAAGTCATTCTCAGTTCTAAATGATGCACAGTCATAATTCAGTTATCATGGTATTTATGATTTGAGATCACTAGAGACATTTGTTCACATACATTTTGTATTGTTTTTGATATTTCCTCCCTCTTTATTCATCAACAGTGACTCGGTTATATAGTTTTAAAATTGGAAAAAGTAGTCACTTTGCATTTCTTAGTGTTTTTGTTTTTAATAAGAAAATTGTGAAAATGTATAAAATTAGGGTCATTTTTACACCCTTTTTAGAGGTTTTTTTTATTAGAAAATTTAAAATAAAATTAATTTTGTCTATTAGAATTTTTTTAAATAGAATTTTTCGATCATTTCATTGCATTTTGCATCAATCATTTTGCCTATCAAATCTCTATTTTTATATTCACATTTACATTTGCATCATGCAGTGTGTGTGTGTGTGTGTGTGTGTGTGTGTGTGTGTGTGGCATCTTACAATAGTTTTGAACATTGCTTTTTATAAATGGTAGAAAAAAAGAAGAAAAAAAAACGCTATAAATACCCCTATTTAAGTCTAATTGACTTCATGCTACATCTCTGTTTACTGGTGTTGAGTTTTATGAGTAAGTTTTCTGAAAGCACACTGGCATTTTACCAGCTTGTAAACTCTGAAATCCATTTGTGATGTTTGTGAGGCTGTGTGGATTCTCTCCGCTCATGTAAAATGGATGGACGGCCTTTGGCTCTGAGAACAGAATCACTCAGGCCTCAGAGGTTTCTATCGCTGCAGGGAACAACTATAACTTTGACCTTATGATATGGAAGACGCTTTTATATATGCAACAGTATATAAAGCTACTGTGTCATATTTGATGCACAAATTTCCTCACGTGTTTCTAAACAATCAACATGATTGATAGTTCTGAGTTTTTTATCAAGTTAAAGCTCTTTTAGTCTAATTGTACAAACGTCCAGCTTCAGCTCGTGCTTCACGTGTCTTTTTATAAATCAAACGTAAGACTAACTTTAGTAATAAAAGTTTGGATCGACATGAGGGTGAGTAAATGACAGCATTTCATTTTTGAGTGAACTGTCCCTTTAAGAGGAAACAGCTGAGATAAACTTGATAATTTCTTATTTAATATTTAATGTAAGTCTCCTTAGATATTAAAGAGAAACCTCTGAGCAATAGCAGAGTCCTGTGTTAATGTGGCTTCATTAGTGGTGTATGTACAGGTAGTTGAGATGGACGTCAGGCCACAGTATTCTCTGCTGCGCTTCGTTAGCGTTTTCCTGCATTATCAGAGCTGCTGTCAGATCCACTAAATGAACCATGGTTCTCTTATCAGGAGAATAAAGGTTTGCCCGTTCTTGTCAGATGGGCTGATGTGGGAGCCCAGAGGTCGCTGGTTTCAGGGTCTGTTTGACTAATGGCCATGAAGCAGTTGTTAAGATCTCAGACTGATGACGGCTGTATTGACAGGAGGTGCAGGCCACTTAATTAAGCCGGACACTCCGTAATGAGCAGTTTGTTTTTGCTAAAGGACCTGCTCATCTGGACTGCCGCTGATGGATGGAAAGCATCCTGTCGTCATGGAGACGGTGATTGCCGTGGTGCTGATGCAGGAGTTTGTGGAGATGCAGGATGCTGTTTGTGTCTCGGCTGATTGGACGGGATCAGTCGTGACATTGACTCGTGTCTGGTGCGACGCTCTGACATGAACTCTGCTAATGGAGTGTGTACATTGAGTTTCTTGACTGAATAGTTGTTGTTGTTGTTTTTTGAATATGCCAGTTGTTTGGCATCATACCAGATATGAAGAAAAATAGTAACCTGTCCTGAAACCTGTCAAGAACATGTGAAAGGCATATTTCAGCCCAAAATCAACAAATTATATTTTTGTTACTATTTTATAATTAAATATATATTTAATATCTATTATATATAATTTTTTTAATAATTTTTATTATTATGAAATTTAATATGTTTTTAATATATCACTTAATATTTATTTATTTATTAAGTAGATTTACAGTGCACAATTTACAGGTCATTTATCTCACCTGTAGCTCCTCACTCCAGGTTTGTACAGATACTGTCTGTAGATGAATAAAATAGTCAAATAACTACACAGTTACCAACACTAATACATCCATATTTATTCTGTGAAAATACAAAATAAAATCATGTACACTTTATTTACAGCCTTTTGTACATTATAATATATTGTATTTATATCTGCGTTGCCATGTTTATCATGTTAAATACTCCAGCAGCACACAAGATGTTCATCTTTCTCTCATTTCTCTCTTCATTCAGCATATTAAACCGCAAGATTCGCACTTAATGCTTAAGACATTTTCATTTAAATACGTCTGCTTGTGTGAATCACTAAAATTATACACACTAATCAAACACCTTGCACAAATTCATGCCACTTTTCAGTCATCCAGTCTTTAAATATTGAACTTTGTTGCATGATTTTTGTTGTTGTTGTTGTTGATTTTAGGGCCACTTTTCGCTGGAGCGGGTCTTTTGCGGGTCCTTCCTCGAGTCCGGCTCTGCTGATCTCAGATCAGCTCTGTTAAGGCTCATGTGACGCATATATAAATCAAGCACACGTTTAACCTGATCAGAGTTTAATATGCAACACTGGAATGACTGAAGAAGTGAACAGAAGCTCAAGGCAACAAATAAATGCATATAAAATGATTTACAGCGCTTAGTTATTAACAGTAAAAAGCTCAGATTGAAAGCAAAGAGCTGAAGAAACACTGCAGATCAAATCTATCAGCACAAGCTGTGGAATGTGTTTCATTGTTCGCAAAAAGACGTTGAAGATTATACAGGCCATGAACTTTAACCTCCATCCTCATCTTACTAACATGAAGCTGATTAAACCTCACAATGCATTACTGAGGTAAAACCCAATAAATGCACGGTTATCAAGACAAATCTCATGTGAAACAGCATATTTATTGCTACAGTGCATAATCATTGGTACGAGAACACGGCGAAGCTGCCATTTGATCCAGCTATAATCATAGTTTATTTTCTAGGTTTCATTTGTCCAGCATGTGGATTGGTTTAGGATTCTATCGCCAATCCCGAGCCGGACCGAGGGAGGACCTGCGCCTGCTCTGCGCGACCTGCGGCGTTTAACCAGATCAAACACTGATGCTCTTTGGCTGATTTCCCACCGATAATGACAACCGTATGCTGTTGCGTGAGTGTAGAGTGATGTCAATCCAATGATGTGCCTGCAAATGTCTAGGAAAACTTCTTCATACATATTTAGCTGAGTTAGAGGAGTTTTCTGTCATCTACAGTGCAGTATATTCTACGCTCATCTCTTCTATATTTATAACGCTCTATTTAGCGATTCTGATACTTATTTCTAAAACCAGTGGTTCTCAACTGGTCACGATCCATAAATGTATTGTACATGTGTTTTTCAAGTCATGGACGGTAAGGAACAACAATGCTTGATGCAGGTAATGAAATGCACACAATCCAATATAGACAGATTTTATGTGATGCTCTCAACGATGAATAAAAATACACAGTAAAAAAAAATATATATATATATAATCAATAGGGCATGGCAACATGTTTTTTGTTCCCCTATTTACCCGTCATAATGCATTCAAATCTGTATGATTTTCACATCTGTATGCGATTTCAAGATTCGTTGCTTTATAAAAAAGTCAAAACCTAATATTTTTCAACTAAAACCATATTGGATCTGATCAACAACATTACCATGCATTTAACCCTTTTTGATTAATTAAAAAATAAAAAAATTATTTGAAATTTAAAATGACTCATGAACCAAAAAAAAAGCAAAATATATTTTTTTCAATATTGATTAGAAGTTATCTGAATATATCATTGTATGAATTTTATAAGAACATATAATCTGAGCATTTCCAGTATTAACCCCACTGGAATAAATGTAATTTCAATTCCTTTGACTTTATAACTCATGATTGCTCAAAAACTTTATGAAACCTACATATCTATTTCTAATAAAACATAAATATTTCTCTGAAAAGTTTTCAAACAAAATAAATTCCTTTTACTTGAATAAACTTTCCCTTTCAGATGAAAAAGTGATCATTTTTTTTTAATGCTGCAATGGCTCATCAATCAAAATAATTTAACTAATTTCAATTAAATTTCATTTGTGAGGTTATATGAGATTAAGGCAACTGATTTTATGTCTTTAAGTTGAAGTGGAAATGTTTTCGTGTACATCCAAGACATTAAAAACGGGTTCACTTGCAGCAAAAATCAGATTGACCACAATGAGTTTTGTGCAAATTATTGGCTGCTAGAATCATGAAACCATCAGAATTTCATCTTTATGATAAACAGTGTTGGGTCACCATTTGATCTCCAGCAGCAAAACCAGTTGAGAACCACTGAACTCCATCTCTGCCGTCGTTTATGGTTGATTTCCAGCAAGGATTCAGACTGTGTGTGGATGATGTCGTCTCAAGGCTCCTCCTCCACTTCTCTGATTGGCTGGATGATGTTGCTGGTGGATTTGAACTGATTGATCTGATTGGCTGTGTGTGTGCTGGTGTGTTTGCTTTGCGTGTTTCTGGGGAAGCAGTTCTCGGGTTCATCAGTGTACCAGTTTTTATCTGCAGAATGATTGACATCATTTACTGTACGCCTGAAGCAAGATCTACACAAGTGTGTGAAAGCAAACGTTACATATGCAAGCTCTGTCTCATGCACTGAGGAGTTTTGAAATGTTTCAATTCAGAAGTACGTGTTGCATTTAGAGCAGGGTTAAATGTTCCTTACGTGAAATAAAATAAACAGTAACATTTAATAAACTTTACATTAACATTTTTTTTTATTTCAGCATTGTAAAAAGTTGTATGATCAGTAAGTCATGGTAACAGATACGATTTTAAGACTAAATTTTCATTTAGTTTGTTGAAGTACTAAAATAACTACAATTAAATAATTGTATATAGACAAAAAACCACTAATAAAATTGACAAAAATTATTACAACTTTAATGAAAACAGAATATATCAAAATAAAAGCTAATTTTATTTTCTAAATGTAAAAGTTTTTAAATTCAAAATATGATCAAAAACTATAATACTATAAATAAATGTATACTAGCCAAATAAATGTATATAAATGTATAACAGCCAAAACACTTTCTCAGCACTTTCTCCAGTGAATTCACCAGACAATTTTCAGCAATATTTTGTGAATATTTTTGGTGTAATTATATGTATGTGTGACTAAGTGTTTTTTTATTATTTAAATGCAAAATATGTAATTTAACATTGAATATACCAGTAAAAACAAGTTAAATTTAGTTTTTTTTTAAAAAGTCATAAGTGAAGTCATCAAGATGGGATATTTTGGTACAATTCAACAAACTTAATATTTGGTTAAAATAAAAAAAAATAAAAAACAAGAGCAGTTTCTCCAGTGACGTCACTAGAACATTTTCAGCAATATTTTTGTAGATTTTTTGTGCATTTATATATGTGTGTGTGACTGTTTTTTTGTTGTTGTTGTTGTATAATTTAAATGCAATATGTTTTTTTTGTTTTTTGGTGAAGGCAAGATCATTTGCATTGTAAAGACTTTTTTCAAATGATTTAGTTGTAATCATGCTCATATATTTGGAAACCAAAACCATGCATACTACATGACACGTGAGCTAAATCTCTACAGACGGTTGCAATGGTAAAAGCATTCTCAGTGTTATGACAGATCATAAATATCAAGAGATCAAGACAGCTACTGAACTACAGCAGAGCCCTGAATCCAGTGACGCATGCACTGCAGAGATGACCTTCAGCAGAACGGCCAAAAGCTGCTTTGCTTTCAGTCAGAAAGCAAAGAATTAATGCTGGCATGACGGGTTCAATGCACTTTTCAGCTCATAACCATCTGAATTATGAGAGATGGTTGCAGTAATGACATGCGTTTAGTTCCATACCTGAAACCCCTCTATTCGTCCTGCAGGGCGCACTTTAAAGAGAGAGTAAATGGAGTAAGTTCAAACATCCTGATTTTCTGAGGAATCTCAATCATCTTGTTTTCACACACACACAGACAGACATATATATATATATATACTTATTTATATTTGTGCATAAGATAAAAATTTAGCAATTTACAAAAAATATTTATTATCATTACAATTAAAATAATAAAATCTAAAATTTAAAAATTATAAAATGAAATGCATTTGTACTTAGGTTTAAAAAAAAAGTAGTTATCAATTTATTTACAAAAATCATTAAATTATTAAAATCATAAAATACAAACTAAAATTAAATTATAAAATTTAAAAAATGCAATTATTTGCAAATGTATTTGAACTTAGTTTTAAAAAATATTTATCAATTTATATAAAAAAAAATTATAATTGAACACAATTCTAATAATTTTGATTAAATTATTAAAATAATAAAATACAAACTAAAATTAAAAGATGATCAAATAAAAAAATATATGCAAGTTTTTACAAATGTAGATGTACTTTAGGTTTAAAAAGTTATTTATAAAAAAAATCATTAAATAATAATACAATTATAATTATATTGAATAAAATAATTAAAATAATTTTAAAATTGTGAAATTATAAAATAAAAATTTGAAAATAATTGATCAATTTATAAAAATAAAAAAAATGATAATTATAAATAATACAATAAAAAATAAAAATAAAAACATTTAATTAATAACGAAAGATTATCAGTGAAAATGAGGTGAAAAGCAGATGCTCTAAGTGTTTTAAAAGCAAAGACTTCACATCATCAATACAGAAAAAAAAAATACTTTTATTATGTTTAAGATATCGCATACACTAGTTCATTAGAATCATATAAGAAAAATCTCTTACACTTGATATTTAGAGAATCAAAACTTTGGTGTAAGCGTCTTACTATAGCAATGAACGTGAATTAAACATAGAAAGCAATCAAACGTCCTGCTTGCTTCTTTACAAATGCTCATCAAACAGCTTTATTCTTGCAGCATCGCAACATTTTCATATATTAAGTGAGTTGTACCAACCAAACAGGACATCGAGTTCAGTCCAAAAGAGTTTAACAGCCTTAGAAATATGGAAAATATTTTGAATGGAAGATAAAACATTTGTCAAATGACTCTTTTGAAGCACAGAAACGTCTGAGCGACAGCTGCAAAAATCCCATTAAACCAGCATGAGGACTGAGGAATAATGCTTCAGCGGGATGTTTCTGATGTTTCCATTAGCTTCACTTCAGTTTGGGTTTCTAAATCACAATTAACCTGAATCACCGCTGACGTTTAGCCTTTGTTTCGCAGACGTCCAGTAGCGCGTCTTCATGCGTATGCTATGCGTTTCTGTCAAGGCTGATGTGATTAAACTCTCATTCTGTCATCTGTCGTCTCAAGAAGGCAGTGAATGGAAAATAAAAACAACATTCTTTATGAGCACATATATAATGATGTGTAAGTACAGTGGGTCCAAATGTCTGAGGAAACATTGAAAAATTTTACTTTTTTTTGCAAAAATTAAAATAAAATGTCATGACATAAAATGATTTTAGAGTTTTCTAAAATAGTTCACTAATCAAATGTTTTGTGACATTGACCGGAAACTGATTTTGTTCAATTAAAATACATACACTTTATCCATCATGCTCTTTAGATTTGGTGCATTTGTTTTAAATTTTGTATATTTTGAGTATTCATTGCTCATTTATTTATGTATCCACAATTGATTGAATTATACAGATTTTTATGTATTTCAAGAATCCATCCATCATTTGAGTTGTGAATCTAAATTGTTAAAAAATAAATTACAAAGAGTAAAAAATAAACTCGAGTTGTGAATAAAAAAATACATTCAAGTTTATTAAAATTTTCACTGAAATTTATATGATTAGAAAATTTAATATTATTTATTAATATTATTAATTTAATATTTTTATTGACTTGTAACATTTTAATATTTGATTAACTAAA